GTTCCACACGCAATCGCAATCCGATATTTGTTGTACATACTGTATACATAGGTGATATGCAGCTTTGGCATCTCCTCTTTGAAAGCAATTAAGCCATGCAGCGATGGCGCCATGATAGCGATCTTTGTATTCGGCCCTATGCGGACATTTCACCCTTGCCTGCGTGGAACCCTTTGGCTTACCCACATTTTTTGCTTCGAATATTTGTGATTTCGTGATCGCGACCCATGCTGAGCTGACTCGACGGCCTGTGCTGTGCGATGCGGTGTGTGCTGTGCAGGGTGACTTGACCGACACCCACTTGCGAATGGGGCATCCCATTCTTCTTCGGCACGACCTCATTTTGACTCTCGACAACGTCGAACCCGCCCCCTTTTCCCCCAAAGTAGTGCATTCTCGGCGCTCTCATTGCGCCGATACTTCATCTCCTCGAATTCGTGGTCATATTCTCACCACAAGCCTTTGGTATCTTCGTGCGCACACACCCACAAACGCATTACCGGCCCACTCCTCAGGAGCCATCCCCTAATTTACCACACGCAAGGTCTCCCCATTTCCTTGTACCACCAACCTGCCGCTCGCAGAACCCTCACCGCGCCATATAAGAAGGTCCGACGTTCCGAGTCCAGCTCGCCACATGGTCACTTGAGTCGAGCAGCCGAGGCAGCTTTATCAAACACACCAGGCAGCCGCGTGGGACGCGGTCGGCCCAGCATGGCTAGCATCGTCGCTCGCTCCTTCACGCATTTCCGCAGGCGGACAGAGTCGACGGAGATGCCCTCGACACCGGCCAATGAACATGCAGGATGGATAGACGATGAGATCTGTGCCAACTGTGGAAGCGCAGTTCAAGGTGCCAGGCTCTACTGCTCTGACGCCTGCAGGGAGGGGGATGCTCAACCACACAGTGGTCAACACCTCGCTCGCGGGTCCATTGGAGCGGAGCAAGAAGGATCTCCTGCCGCTCTGGCCGGTCCCAGCGTTCTGTCAGCTGCCAACGCAGCGACAGTCTCACCGGCGACTAGGCCATCTCATCTGCACAGCGCTGCCTCGTCTGCGCCAGCACTCGCCAAACGCGACGGTCGGCCTGCAGCTGCTGACGAGTTCGAGCACAAGTTTCGCTACCCATGCCCACCCTCACCTCATTTCCTGGCTCGCTACAAGACATCGGCTTTGACATCGCCAGCTCTGACGGCCTTGGAGAGAAGCTTGCCGCGTGGATCCGAAGCGCTGGACGATGGCGCAGACACTACATCAGCCTCAATCTCCTCAAGCGACGACAGTGTTTCAGCCGTCGCTGATCGAGCACAAAATCGGAGGAGCTCATCGCGCAGCACCTTCTCATCAGCGTCTGACAACTTTTCAACGGTGCCAAGCACACCGTCTCCCGCAGTATGTGCGCAGGATGACGACTTGGACGACTTTGAGCCTTCCTCTCTTGTGCTCCCACCCAGCGTCAAGCCTGCCAGCACAGTGCTGCTCAAGTCTGCTTCTAGAGACAAGGCGACCGTTCAAAACTCCCCCGCCCTTGTTGCGCAGCAGCATGTGGCACCCTCATCGGCTGCCATTTCGCCAAGTCTCTCGCGAAAGTCGCCATCTTCTCATCACGCAACACCAAAATCGCCTCCAGCTTCCTCGTCTGCGACCTCGACGGCTACCATGCGCTACGCAAGAAGGCCAAGCAGGACCAATCTTCCTCCGCCCGTTCTCTTCACCTCACCGGCGTTGACTGCGGTACAGCGTGTCGCAAACAAGGCTAGTCCCGCCGACGCAGCCCTGGGAAGAGAGCAGCGCACCATCAAGCGCAAGTCTCTCGCCGACGTGGAAAATCTCGTTGCTCAATCTGCAATGCCTCCGCCTCAAAAGCCAACGGGTAGGCGCGCCTCCATCAAAACGGACACCTTTACCTCGCCAATCATGTTTGCTCGACGTTCTTCCACATCGACCGCAGCGACTTCGGACGTTACCGTCAATGCGATGCCTATGCTTACGGGCAAGCTTGGGTCCAAAAGCCCGGATCAAAGCGTCTCGGCAGCCAGCTCCGCAGGAAAGACATTGCGCGCTATGTCGCCTCAAACGCCAACTCGGGCACTGGCCGGCGTCGTTTGTGGGCGTCCGGGGTGAGTTTGTTGCTATCATACTCAGCGCTTGCTTCAATCTAGGTGTTGATTGAATGTATTCTTTTGTTCGCGCAGATGCCGAGGTCCCAACACGAACCGCGTTCCCTTGGAGTCGAATCCCTCCAGCTGGAATCCAACTTTCTCGCGGCGGGAAAGGAGATCCACTGTGTCTCCTGAGCCGGTCCTTGGACGTCCTGTGAGGTCCAACAAGGCGCACGGTGAAGGGCACATACACAGCGCTCGCGCGGGCCTTTCAGGACCCATGGAAGAGAGCCAAGACGACCTCATCACTCCCGGCAAGCCTCAATTGTCTGCACGTGCGGCCAAGGCTGGCCTGTTCATGACTCCAGCATTGAAGCCTGCGACTAGTACCGCTGACACAGTCTCGCAACAGGCTGCACAGCGTGAAAATGCGTCCGCAGGGCTCGCTGGCTCATCATCCGCCAAGGAGCTGGAGAGCTACAGCAGGAATCAACGCGACTCCCATCAACGCCCCTCCTCTCCGCCCGCCAGAGGCCGGTCGCATGCGCGAGGACAGAGCAGCACAGCTCGTCGCAGCCCCAGTCCCAAGCGCTTGAATGCTCGGCGAGGAGTTTCTGAGGATTCCTTCTCTTCCCGAATGAGCATGTCAAGTACAACACGCGGGTCGCGACAGCTTTCAGCGGAGCGCTCGGAGCCAAGCACCGAGCGAGGTCGTACCTCCACAGTTCGTCCGCGCTATGAACTCAGATCAGCTTCGCCTTCGGTCGAGACCCATCAGGATTCTGTCAAAGAGAGAAGAGGCCGAAGCCCGACTGCTCGTCAATCGTCTGTCTCAGCTCGACGCGACTCCCGTCGTCGGACGTCAGCAAACCGCGATATCAAAGTCGAGCCCGTCCAAAGTCTGGTTAACTTCAAAACATCAGCATCAACGGGGAGCCTGCCCGGTCCTAACGCGCCCTTGCGGTCGATCGACTCGGTGGCCGAACAAGGCTACGACGATGTCGATCTCGAATTGGAGTGAACACGTCGCTTCTGGCCTCGATCATCACATCGGAACGCACCCAACCCGTGCCACCCACACATCCCTTCCCAGCACTGCATTTTCCCATCATCTTACCTCTTTCAAACCCACTACTATCACGTCCAAACGATCACGCCTTCCATTCGCCCTCAAAGAGCAATCAAAACAAACCGATCTCGAATCTCGATCAACTCAATGTATCCCGCAATTCTGGACTTCAATGAACTTCACCGTCTTTCACAAGCACGCCGCAATCCTCTTTCCCTCCACAAATCTCCACTGCTCCATCTTCGAGTGCCTTGGTACATTTCACCCTGCACTCCTCAAATCAGCACAAAAAGGCCTGTGCGTGCCGTGCACACACCCTACTTCACCACGCAATGGCATCCAAACCAGAACAACATACCTTCTCGCCTGACACGCAGACTGTGAGAGTGTGCATGATCGAACGCTTTTGAAAGGCGAGCTGTGGAGTGGATGCCATAATGTGTGGCGGACCTGGCCGGCTTGGAAATGTCCGGGGATCATGACGTGGTGGCTCGCTGAAATCGACGTCGATTGAAGCAGAGCCCCCACGCAAACCCAGAGTCGCAGGTAGCTCGGCTACTCCGAAGTTCAGGGTCTTTCTAAGCCACAAACTCTGCTTTGTGAATCAGAATGGTGATCGATTTGCTCAGCACGATGCGGGCATACCAGACAGCACCTCGTGAAATGATACAGTCACGAGCCACGAGCACGGTTGCGGTGTAAGCGAGGTGCAGCATGGCTTGCTAGGGTGCATGCAGGCAGGCAAGGCATGCCGAATGATGCAAGCGGTGCCGCGCTCTTGACACGCGGTGGGTGGCCTTGTGAGGCAAGCAGGGTCTCACTCCACCACACGTTTTGAATATTCGCAACTACGGTAGCTATGCAAGATGGAGAAGCCACATGCTGAAAATTTTGACACTTTGACTCACGCGATTCGACCAATATGCTGCGTCCGTCGGACAGTCAGAGTCACACATGTGCGAATCCTTTGTGACCAGAAGCCGCATTCTTGAATGAATGAGCCTTGCTCAGCGAGCTTTCTAGTCGGTCATCGATCGGGTTACCAAGCGGTTCCTTTCAAGTGATGCTATAGCTTAGTCACGTGAGGGTCGACGTTATACTCTTGAGCGTTCGAATTCAAAACCCTAGCTCTTGAAGGAGACACTTTCTCTTCGATACACCATGCGCCCACGTAGCATTCAAAGCAGAGTGACGTGCGACTAACAACGAGTGAATTTTTTCGTACATTGACGACGATATTGCATGCGCAACATTTCGAGCACCCGTCATTCTGGTGTGCGACACATGGTCCCAGATTCTTACGTGAATGTTCTCACCATCTCCCTTGCCTCTGACCGTAGTCGCCTCCACGTCTAGGGGACCTTTCTCGCGTCCTGGACGAGTCCTCTCGAGCTTGAGGCGACCTGGATCGTCTTCCGTGTTGCTGCTGTTGGTTCAATTGCTCTCCTTCGCCGGGCTGAGCTGAGTGCCTTTCCGAAGAAGAAATGCCGCGCGCTGACATGTTGGGTCTGGGTGGTAGGCTGGCTTCCGGTCTACGAGGCAGCGCATGGGTTTGCGGGGGCACGGGGCTTCTGCCTCCTCTACTCTGATCGTGCGCAGCGCTGGACGAGTGATAACGATCTCCATCGCGACTTCCTGAACCGGTCGCTCGATCCATTGGCGAGCCGCGGTGAGTCGATCGACCATTTGCGTTCCCACAGCCTGCCCCTGCTTGTCCCCAGCTTGAAGAGTGGCCGTAGTTGTCACCTCCACCTCCGCCACCTCCCATTCCATTCTGACCCATCTGTCCTTGATAACCACCTTGCATGCCCATGCCACCCATATTCGGCATGCCCATCATACCAGGCATGCCCATACCACCCATCATGCCTGGCATGCCCCCCATTGCCCCGCCCATCATCATCTGCTGGAACATCATCGGATTGAAATTGTTGCCCCACCCGGTCTGTTGGAAGAACTGCGCCATAGCTTGAGGGTCGAAGGCTCCGCCATTGGTCATTCCCATGCCTATGCCCGTTGGCAGACTCGAGGAGTTATCACCGCCTGTAGACGAGCCTGCGTCGCGCTGTGACTGCACATCGCGAACGTTGGTTCTTCGACCGTTGTCTGCATTGCGATCGGACCTTGGCTGTGCTTTCTTGACTTCGATCTGCATATCCAAAAATGCTCAACGTGAGCTGAGCTGATCGATACGGTGCGGCGCGCTTGGTGTTTACATACCTGTTTGCCATCCAGATAGAGTGGCTGCGAGGCGAGCAGTCTTTCGGCGCTCTCCTCGGTGGTGAAGGAGACAAAGCCATATCCTCGAGGCCTGCCTGTTTGGTTGTCCATCATCAGGTTGCTCTCCGTAACCTCCCCAAAGGGTTCAAAGGTGCGTCTAAAGGATTCGGATGTGGCTGTCTGAGGGATGCTACCAACAAAGCAGCGTAGCGTCTTTTGGCTGTCTCCTCGAGGAACTGCGCGTTTGGGGTCGATCTATAGGTGGATGCAGTACCCATCGGCCATCAGATACTGCCGAACAGTGATTCAGAAAACCAATTCTATTCAGGCTCACAAGTTTCCCGTCCAGGAAGTGCTCCTTCACCATGACTACATTGACTGTCGAAGGGTCGGCGAAGCGGAGGAAAGCAAAGCCTCGCGATCTCCCAGAGCCCGGTTCACGCATGATAGTGCAGTGGGTGACCTTGCCGTACTGGCTAAAGTGCTTCGCAAGAGCCTCTGAAATGACGCATTTTGAAATCGGATCGAGAGGATAATTTCAGTCTTTTCCGCAACAAGAAGGCATCGGGCGAGCGTGCGCTCTCTGTGGAGATGATGGGTGCTCACCATCGGTGGTGTCCCAACTAAGCCCTCCAACAAACATCTTCCTGCGTGTATGCGCAGTTAGGTCGATGAAAGGGCATCGCGAGCGAGGAAGAGGATGGGGAGACAGCGTGTAAGTAGATGTGCAGCCATTGGGCATCAGTATCAGAGCGAGCTTTGAATGTGACCAGCGGCTGGTGCTCGTGCCACAATGACTCGAGAGGAAGGATCTGCAGCCCTTTGCATGCGCCCACCATCGGCGCCGTCCGTGGTCGCAGACAATGCATCCATTGACTATTCCTGCAGGCCGACTTGGGCTTCGAAAGCATAGCCCGAATGCTGAACCAGCGATCAAGCGTGCGACGTGGTGTAACTGTCTGTCTACAGCACCAAGGACGTGGGCTAAGGCTGTGACGTGTGCGCAGTAGCGGTGTCGTAGACCAATGGAGAGCCTGGCTGGGGGCTGCACCAGCTCTAGCATAGAGATACAGCCTGAAAGCCTTTTGGGTGCGGGTACTAGATATACTCCGTAGGGCCAATTCGAGCAGCATCTGTGCGCCGCATCTCGCAAGCCGAGCAAACAAAGGAGTCGTGCTCTCAAGAGATCGACATCCAGCGGGACAAGTCCCCCGCACCCTTAACGTAGAGCTTCAGAAGATAAATGCTCCCTACAACGCCAAAACACTTGCGCATCGACCCTCACTGCCGGACACTCGTGAGACAGAAACTCACCCATCATCTGGCATCTCGTGCGGCATTACTCGATGTATAGTCCCTGAGGTGTTTGTAGTAGAGTCTGGTTGAGATACACGTTGCACAGCAGACTGAGTGGACTGAATGCGGGCGTTGTCGTTGTAAATAGCAGCTTGTACAGGCACTGGCACAGGAGTCGCAGATTCTCGCAAAGGTTCCTTTTTGGGATCTGGTGGGATGAAGGATCCTGCTCCCTTGCCCGATGGAGGGGGCGGGATGAAGGAACGAGAGGTGGTGGATTGTGCGTGAGTGGTAGCGGATGAATCGGGCCCAGACTTGTTGGCGGTGGACGAGGAACCGTAAATATCGTCGTTGTTTGTATGATTCTGCTCATCCACGACGTTGGCGCCAATGTCGCCCTCCTCGCCATACAAGTCCGAGTAGAGGTCGTCGGGGTCATTTGGAGCCATGGTGGGCAAAGGGATGGGCCGCAAAGAGGGCAGAGGAGGGTGGAGAGATCGACAAGTACAGAAGGGGCGAGGCGGCAAGGGCTCCAAGCGAGTGACCGGCGGTGCCGTTGCAAGCAGGATTTACCACGCTCTGCTATGCTTGATGAAGGCGTTATTGGCGTATAGCGGCGCGGCTGCGCTGACACCTGATTCTTGATTTGAGTGCGAAAGAAACGCGTACGCGCAATGTCGCGCTCAGCCTCAAAGTAGTCACCAGTCTAGGTGATTGATAGCTTTCGAATCAGCAGTCTGAACAAGCTCGCCGAGAGGTGGACTTGCGTCGGTAGCTTTTCGCGAGTCGATCGAGGCTCTCAGCCGTAAGTGATGAGCAAAGAGTCTAATGAGTCGAGAACGAGCGAGGGGTGATCAGCTGCAACGCGGGACGTACGTGACTGCGCCCGGCGTGGGTCGATCAAAAGCGCCGACTACAAACCAAATAACAATCACAACCAAAATATAAATAACGGCTTTCCGCGTGCGTGCGCGCGGATACCCGCAAGCGTGCCCACGCAGCATCTGCATCAGCAGACACGCGCGAGAAGAGGTGCTTGACCAGCACGCAAGTTAGTTACACGCCGCGAGCTATGTATGATTATTATTATTATTATAAAGCGACGCTCAAAGCTGGCGGAAGTTTATTCACGTGACAAGACAACCAAGCTGATTCTTTCGCACGAGTGCGGCGGACCGCTGACAGAATAAGTTTGGCTGGGTGGTTCGTGATTATGATTGTTCACGACGACCCCCCTCGTTCAAGTTTTGAGAACGAGACCTCTAGCTAGGCGCGAGAATTGATCGTTATCCTTCACTCACCCGTTCATCAGTTTTACGTCGCCCAAAATCACGACCTTTGTACCCATCATTCTCCTCGTCCGAGATCGGACTGCAGGCCTCGCTCCGCTGACTTTCACACCAGGTTCCCCACTCGGCTGGAGACCTCCTCATCAATCCGACACATTGGAAAGTTAACGTCCAGGCCCGGTTATCCGACACACTGTAGTAGCCCATCTCAAGCTGTGCACGACATCTCACGCACCCTTGCATTGGCGTCTTGTCAGCAGATTGCGCTTGAACGGGGTGGCGAGGTGAAACGCCCAAGGGTTGGCAGGTACCATGTCTTTGCCCAGGTTGTTGGCTCAGGTGAGTTTGACCATACGCTGCAGCGTAGGGCATCAGCGACAGACTTTGCACTGCATATCCTGGTGCTAAAGCAGCTCACGCCATCTTGATCGCCTGGACTGTAGTTTCTCTTTCTCGGCACTCAGATCGTTGGCAAAGCCTTCGCAGAGGCAGGCAGGCAAGCCGCCCGAAGTGAGTCGTGCCCGCCGATCCGGAATTTGGGGATGAATCGTTGGAGGTTGATGCATGCGTCGTGCTGACACTATTTTTCGGATGCGCCCTTCCGCAGATGCCAGGGCGGCCCCAGTGGAAGCCGGTGCGGCGGGAGCATCGACTGGCAATTCTGCTCGAGATGCCTTGACGCGTACGCACCGGATGACTCTTGATGAGGCTCGAATGATACTCAACCTGGACGCCAAACAGGTCGCCAGTGGTGGCGAAGAGATTGCGCAGGAGCTGGAGAAGGTGAGATGGATGCACTTCGATTTAGATTCTTGGCGATCGGCGCGAACGTGAAAAGTCTGGCAGTACGCCCGGCTCACACTTCTTACCTTGGTTGCAGAGATATACGCAACTTTTCAACACGAATGCCCCGCCAGCTCCAAAGGGCAAGTCGGGTGGCGGACAAGGATCATTTTACGTGCAGTCTAAAATTGTCCGAGCCAGGGAACGCATAGAGGCGGAATGGGCTGAGATCCTGAAGAAGGGCAAAGAGAGTGCCGAAGGTGGCAACGGGACTGGAACGGCTGCAGGTAATGGCGCATCGGAAGCTGGACAGACGAATAGGTAGCCCTGGGTAAGGATAATGGAGAAAGAGTAGATGAGTGTATGGTTGCACATTCTGGACGCGCAATGTCATTAAGAGCCGGTATGCAAGATGCGGCTGCATCCTCTGGCTCCTTCAACCTCTCAATGATTAGCTCGGCACCTTGAGGATTCTGATCTTCACTCGCGATGTTTCAGAGAAGGGAAGATCTTTAGTCGGAAGGTACGAGAAGCGTCAGGGTCGGCCCTGTTGATCGAGACGTCAACAGGACGTCAACCTCTTGCTACTTACGGGTTCAGCTGCAGCCACTTCCTCACCAATGTCGCTAGACACCTGTCATCTGCAAAAAGAGGTTCGATTCGAGTGCGGCATATCAACCTGAGAGCGACTTTCAGCGCCTCACGTCGATCTCTGTTGAGCGTACCTGCGTAGGACTATGGCATGCATGCCCCTCTCGATCCGAGATCAATCGCCTGCGACGTTTCAAGCGTGTCAGCTCCAGCCACGGCGTTTGAGTGCCAATACTCGGCTCGACGGAAAATTTGGCTCGACGCATCCTCGCAGAGCTTCTGATGCTAATCGCGACGCGCAGGCAATTCTGGCCGCCCGCACTCGCGTGATCAATCTCATGGCTGCCATGCATGCGACTGGCACCGGCAGAGGCCTCGAGCCCCTTCCGCGTCTTTGATCCTGTTTCTAGAGGGCGTGTGCTGACGACGCTGAAAGTTTGTGCTGCAAATGCTTGAGTGCACGACGCGCATATACAGTGCACGGACCCCTCCGACGTGGCGAGTATATCGCTAGGCGACATCGGCTTCACACGCTGACTCAACCCCTCACCTTTGCTCACTTGACGATGCCGACGACACCGGCGAACAGTAACAAATCCACGTTTGTGGAGAAACTTGGTGCAGGACAACGCTCGATGATACCTTCACGCCCCAATCTAGTGTGGACCAGCGCGATGGTGGGCGCGATCCGGCTTGCGACGCATGGATCCTCGTTTCATAACGCACGGATCGCTCTTGTGACGTCCCGCATGACGTATGAACAGCGCGCATCAGCACTCAAAGACTGACCGACGTGGCGATCTGAACTCGTAGACTACGAGGTCAAAGCTGGATGGGGCTTCAGAGCTGTGATGCGTTGTATCAAAATCAGCGCTCAGGCCCCGCGCACAACTCTTCGCGATACCAGGCACTGCGCAGTAGAAGGCGCTCTTAGAAGAGATCGAGGCCCATACGACGCGCAAGCAGGACTGTTCGAGTACCAGTTCAAGGACGACGCAGGGCCTGAGTGGCTTCTATATAAGGTGAGACCTGACCCCTGCCCTGCCCTTGCGACCTGCCCGAATGCCCAAGTTGTGCTAATAATACCGCTCCCTGCACTTCCAGCGTCTTCTCATTAATACTTCCCTTCCCAGTCACGTTGCGACCGCGAAAGGTCGTCCTCAACTCCGTCAACATCTCCAACTCACCATCAATCAAGCTTCGCTCCAAAATGATGGGCTTCTTCGGGGGCTCGTCGGGCGGAGACAACTCTAGACCAAGCTCTCCAATTCCTGCACAACGCACACAGGGCGATCAAGTTATGAGCCGCGAGAACAGCCAGAAAGGTTCCCAAGTTGTCAACCACCGACCAAGAAACGATACGTTTGGGGTCGGAGGCAACGGTCGTACAGCAGGGTGAGTCAGAAAATCTTGCTCGTATTATCCGAGATGTAGATGAGTCTGACTCTAGCGACCGTCTTGCCATCGCCTTCAGCGATGACTACTCGACGTTTTCTGGCGCGTCTGGAGGCTCGGTCTTCGATGACGATCGTTCAATGGCGCCTTCTACTGTGGCCACATCCGTGTCAATCGGTGGTAGTCTGGGCAAGAGTCCAAAAGAAGGCTACAAGACCCTGTCGCACAAGACGTCTTTCGGTGCTTCACCGAGGCCCAAACCGAGTGAGCTTGTCACGCAGCCCCCTTTGCCGTCCGGCGTCGCTGCGCGCCGTCATAGTCCGAGTAGTCACAGCCCTGTGTCGACTACTCATCAGCCGTCCAACTTCGACTCTGCCCTCCAGCGAGGCAACATGAACAACACCGTGTCGCTTCAGCAGCAGTCTCCCTCCGTTCAACACATCCAGCGGCAGGACTTGAGAGCTCCTAGCCCACCAATACCTGCCCGTAATCTGCCCAACGAGTCTTCCAAGCCGACCTCCGGCACCGTGGCAAGCTCCGGCGCTACTCGTCAACCTGCCACTGAACTCCAAGACACTCGAGAACCAGTGCAGCGCAGCCCGAGTACCTCGCATTACAATCAGACCTCGAACGACATCGTCAGAGACGACGATAACAACGCCACGAGCTTGGCTCCAGACAACGGCAGCGCCCTTGACCGCAGCGCTGTAAGCAATCGTGGTGCTGTTGTGTCCGGGGACTGGTCCGTCGACCGTGGTGCTGCTGCCGGATACGGCAACATCTCGGCTTGGGACCAGACCGAGTAAGTTTTAGCCGCTCACAACGAGATGGCCTTCATCCGCTCGCCTATTGACACTGCTTTTTGGATCGTGCGTTAACAGGGCATCCGCCTTCACTGGTAGCGACCCTGTTGCTCAGGCCACTGACTTTGCTGATGGCGACATCATCTTTGTCAGCTCCGAGGCTGGCTCTGGTGCCACTCGTCAGCCTGTCACAAGATTCAAGGTGAATTGGTTCATCGTTCACGGCTGCTTGCTGCACGGATGCTGATCATGTGTGGGCCGATCACGATAGATTCACGAAGTGAACCTGAATGTTCACTCTGCTGTGCTTTCCGAGATGGTTGATGGATCTCCTGAAGGCAAGGTCCACACGCTCGAGGAAGGTGAGCTCGCGTCGTGGCGTGGCACTAAGCCGCAGTCGCTGAAGTGCCTTTCATTTCCACGGTGCTTGCCTTGCGCAGACAGTGGCACGCTCAAAGTCCTCTTCAGCCTCATGTACAACACCAATGCTCCTAAGATGGGCATGCAAGACTGGCAAGTCGTTCTGCGTCTGGCTCGAGCTGCGCAAAAGTATGACTGTGCTCGCGCCAAGGATGTCGCCGCATCCTACTTTGCGGAGCAAGAACAGCTAGGGTACGTCACTCGAATCGATTGTGTGATGTGGCACAACTGACTCATGTGTCCGTTGGTCTTTCAGCTCGCTCTCGCCCTTCATGACTTTCGCTGTTGGGTCTATGTGAGCGACCATGTACGCTTGGTCCAGATCTTCTTGACGCTGCTGACTGATTTGCGGCCGCCCCCGTATACCGCAGGTACCATCTGCCTGCGCTCGAAGAAGCTGCAGCGGAGCGTTCTGTCCGTTACGATATTCATCGTCTTCCCGAGCTGGTGTGAGTCGGCATTTGTTTTTATTTCCCGACCGCCGCCTAGCGCTAATTTGCTATTGCCGCGTGTCGACCAGCTTCAATTTGATGGGCTTTGCAGCCTATCAGAAGCTGGCAGCATTCCATACTCGTCGTCAGCAGCACTATCAGGACACACTCAACAGCATCACGGTCGATCCGAAGGAGCTCGAAAGTCAATGCTACCAGACTGGAGGCGTGTGCATCATCAGTCCTCTGACCAAACTCAAGCAGAAGCTGGCTTGGCCTAGACAAGCCAACAGAGACGGGTCGAGAAAGCCTATCGAAAGTCGGGATGTCATGACCAAACTTCTCACTGAGATTGGGCAGATTGGTGAGCTGCTCTCCGAGCGTTCTGCTGTCTGCCAAATTGAAAGGAAAGCTGATCACCCGCCACTTTGCCAATGGGCTGATTACAGACTGCGGCACATGCTCTCGAGCTTTGGTCGAAGCTGCTTTGCAGATCCAGCTCGCGATCGAGACCATGCCTCGCTATAACGAAGATGAAGAAGAGAGCTTCTGAGCGAGCACCGGGCTGGCGCCTTAAGATCCTTCGCGTAATCCGCAAGCGTCCATTCTTTCTGGACACCTGACTCTTGGCTGTGCGTTTTGAGAATCTTGCTAATATGTCCACCGCCGCCCTGGGCCTTCGCCTCTACTTGGGGCCACACACTCGTTCGCGCTCGCAACCATGGCTATCGACGCTTCGCAATTCACTTTTCAACGCGCTCCTTGTACCTGTATTCAATCCCCGTTCCCTGACCTCGACTAGTCTTCGTCATCAGAGGCTGGTCCTCGATCAATTTTATTCCACATGTACATGCTAATCTCGTGGATCGAAATGAAGCGCGCCCCCGACCTTCACACTCGCTCACTCACCTCTCGTCGAGACGCTACACCACGACTCGTGATCGGTGCTTCTGAGGCGGCTGTTGCGGAGGTTCGTGCATTGAGCCCTTTTGCTGAGTTCGGTCGTGCTTGATGCGCTACGAGCACATGTGCGGATGCGGCGAGCGGCAGCCTTGCGCGCACTCCGAATGGCAAAGCTCGGTACGAATGTCCGAGGTGAGAGGTGAGAGCCACCTGCTCATTCACGATTCATGACCCACGCGCTCCACCAAAACATGATCGATGTAGAGACGGCCAGGCGCGGTGGTCCCACCGCTCGCAAGTGCGAATCTTGAATCTGAATGCGACTTCTGATGTATTCGCTTTATGAAACGCCTTTTCTCGTCGAATCGTCTCACAGGTGCTGCGCCCCTACATACTCCCGCTCTGCGCTCTCAACGTGAATGCGAATGTGTCACGCAATTTGGCCTTCACGAGTGATCCGGGACTCATCTTCCGCCGGCAGCTGTCTGATCTTTCATTGTCTAGCTGGCAGCCCCCTCCCCCTTTTCCCCCAAAAGACTCACAGTCCCTCATGGCTACCGGCAACTCGTCTAGCCGAGAACCGGTCTTGTTGACCAAGGTATACGCGCACCAGCTTTCATTGGCAATGTCTGCTTCAAATGAACACACCGCGCAAGGGCGGTAGCTTGCAACACAAGCGCCACTAATACAGATGAAAGGTGAATGGCTGCGATTCAGCTTACAACGGAAAGGTCTTGTTGTTTGGGCATCGTGACTGATCGCAATGTTGTCTTTTAACTTCGACCTACGGACGAGCGTTCCAGCCAGCACACTGGCTCTGTTCACGACTCCTTTCACAACATGTCGGGCAATCACGTCTCCTTGACAGAGTCAAGAGTCACAGTGAGGGCGCTGTATGACGCGTGGCCCCTTGGCGTTACCGTCTGGCAGCCCGGCAAGCAGACGGGTCAGCTCGCACAAGATGCAGCAAAATCCGTCATCCTTCTCGCGCCAGCTACCGGCGTTCCTTGCAAGCTGTTCAAGCATTTTGCTGCGTGAGTACGAGCTTCGTGCGTCGCAAAGCGACCTTCGAGAGGAGATTCCCCAATGCCGTAGAGCGTGGAATCCAACATGAATTGATCAAGCCTCGATCGCGCCAATCATGCTGCGCAGGTTTTTGTGCAGCTATGGTCACACTGTACTGGCATTCGACTATCGCATGACCGGAAGCTCGTTCCCTGCGTCGTACGCCGTAGGGCCAACAGGTTTAAACACTTCCATTCCTGACACAAACGCGGACGCATCAAGTTTCAAATCCGTCGCAGCGCTCGAAACTTGTCTCAAAGCTCATCGACATCAAGCAACATACGAGCACATAGGTCGCAGAGACTACCCTGCCGTCCTGCTGCATGCTTGGAAAGAGCATTGCATAGTCGAGCCGACTAGACGTAGAGATCTGTGCATCGTCGGTCATTCGCTTGGCGGATCCATCTTACCTTTGGCATTGGACGAGCTCAGAGTGGGACCTCATGCTCTGCAAGACTTTCAAATCTCTCGCGTCTTGGCCGTCGGATCTTCGAGCGGATGGTGGGGCTACTCTCCCACACCAGACCTTTCCAGAGAAGCAGGTCGCTTCATAGTGCAAGAGTCTCACGAAGAAGGTTTTGCGAACCTCAAGAAATGGGGTTTAGGGAATCCCATCACTTTGGCACAAGTGAATGATTGGCTAGGAATGATCGTCGAGTCTCCGTCTTGGTACGGTGCATACGCGGGAGATTCGGGCTGGCAAAGAGCAGTGCAGCATTACGATCTTCCGGTCTTGTCCGTCCTTTTCAGCGATGATGAGCTGATAGGCAATGGCTCGGCTCGTCGAGTGGACGCCATCTTGAGACCTTTAGGCCATAATGCTTCTCTGGTCGAGAGTGCTCAGGAGAAGGCTTACTGGGAGGCCGGAGGAGAGGAAGATCCGGTTGGAGCCACAGCATACAAGAGCGGTTCTCCACCTGCTCCAGAATCTGTCGGACGCTCTCCGAACGCCTCCACCTTGACGCGTATACACTTGGACGTCAACCATAATGGGTGGGTTCGAGGGTCTTCGCAAGTCGATGCGAAGGAGCAGGGGCAGCTGCCATCCCACATAGGACACATAGACTGGATTCGTAAAGAAGTCGGAACTTCTTCCGCCTCTAGAGAGATATGGCAAGTGTGCAGAGCTTGGCTGGACGAGCGAGCGATGGTCCCTAGTCGTTCGAGTCGCATCTACGGCGGTTGCGGAGGCAGGCTGGATTTCGGTCCGAAGAGTGACAGGGCCATCTACACTCCGCATCCTATCTACGCAACTCCTTCTGCGAAGGCAAAAATCTAACGGTAGAAGAGACGAAGATGCGTGGTCATCAATGGCGCGCGTGGCCTGATTGGTGGGGCTTTGCACCTTGCGAAGGGCTCAATCAGTAGCATCCGCCATAAACGCTGTGAGGACTTCTCTACTGCCTCGCTCTAGTGTCAGTGTGAGCTACCCGTCACGGTGACTGCATCATGTCGTGCCTCACACCCAAACCATGCAGACTGTTTACGCCAAATTTGGTGAGCGTGCAGATCGTTGTGACATTGTGATTGAAGCAGCAAAGAGACCTCAGGCAGATTGCCAACATTCGTGATTGACCGAGTGCTAGAGCTCCGTCATCTGCCGTCGTGATCAATCCGCAAGTGTTCTTCCTTTGCCTTTCCAGCTATCAGTAGGGCCATCAGAGCTCACCCCAGCTCGTTGACGTGCGTCATCTTGATCATCGTCCGCATCTCTTCGTTCCTCCATCACTCTTCCTCCGCTCGCACTTCCGGTCTTGTTCCCCCCTTCAGACTCCTTTTCCTCCCTCGCTTTCATCTCCGCAAAAGTTGCGGATCGCGCAACACCGCTCGAGCCGACCGAGCCGGCTGTTGTCCTCCGCGTAAACGCTTTTTCTGCGTTCGCAGCTCGAGCAGCAGCGGCTAATGCGCTCGCCTTTTCGTTCTTGCCGGCGATGCTGCCTTCCCTCATCTTCCTCAGTCTCGCTTCGGCCGCTCGATACATCTCTTCCCTATTTGGGCCTCCGACATTGCTGGTGCGTGATCCAGAGGCTGAAGGAGCAGCGTAGCTAGCCGCAGATCCTCCTCCACCAGCTCCAGTTCCAGTCATCCAATTCCTGATTGTGCTTGTCCAGCTGCTGCCCGTTCTAGAATTGCTTCCTAGCGACCTGCCTCTGCCAGCCATGTTTGCAGCAGAACCCCCCGAAGAAGTGGTGGATGCACTTCCTCCACCATCACCGAAGGAGCGTCCCCTAGGTGCCCAAGCACCTGCACCTCCTCCGCCTTGCCCTCCTCCTCCCCTCTGGTTCGGATCCACACTGTCAGGAAACTGTCTCCTAAGCCAAGCAGGCGTAGCGGGCAAGTACCTTGGGCCCCTTCCTCCACTAGACTCGGGCAGAATGTGCTCGAGAAACCAGTACGTGTGTCCTCCTATGATGCCCGTCGCGCTCAGGATGGCTTGGGGTGGTCCCACCATCAATACGTCTAGCCCCAAATAGGCATAAGGCACCCATCGAGCCGGGATCGTCACGAATCCAAACAGAGACACGCTGCCATGCGGGTTGGCTCTCGACCACAGGTACTGGACGTATAGAGAGAGGTGGATGCAAAGTGTGGATAAGCTCGTTGCGCACACTTGGATTGTTCAGCATTCTGCGTGCAGTGCTCGCCGAATTGAGCTGTGCAGTTGCGACTTACACTCAAGCCACTGAGCAACGGATGAAAGAGGACGCTGTTGGACAGCGGGTAATTCGTCGCCTATAGAGATGAAGGTGAAGGCGTGCTTGAGAGCCTTTGAACCTCGAACAGGCAAAGGGCATACGTACGGGCTGCCACTCACTATGATGACGATGGCCACGACGAAGATGGCCCTGACAAAGTCGGCTGTGCGTCGGTGGAAGTGTCCGATCTCGAGCTCTGAAGCGTTGCGGCTGATAGACAGTGTGATGATGCTCGTGTCAGATTCTGGCCACGCTCCTGTGAAGTCGCGAAGCGCAGCGTCGCAGCTCCCGCCAAATGGCCCGGTTTGGCGCGCGGCGACCTGCATCTTTCGAGGGCAGCACCTCTGCGATGCGGATGCCTACTCACAAAAGCATGAACACATCGAACAAGAATTGTATGCCACTTGATCCGAAGAAGAAAGCAGTGTAGAACCTCCAGAATTGCCATTTCTGGGTGATCATGGGCCACCAAAGAATGAAGTGGTAGGGGCTGATGAGCTTGAGCAGCACTGGGATGGTCACTGCCATGAGGGAGGCTAGCATGGTGCGAGTGACCGGGGGAATCTTGTTGCTGCGCCACCGAATCGCGTTAGGCCATCAAAGAAGTGTCAGTGTGGGTGCTACACCGCGGTTGTGCGCCACTTGTGCCCTCCAAATCGCACCACGACGAGTGCGAAGCCAGCTCACATTTCGTCCATCTTCGGCAGCGCGTAGTGTGTGCCGGTCTAGACCAGATCAAAGGGTTAAAGCTGCGACACCCGCAACGCTGCGTCCCGACTCGTTTCAATTCCCGAACCTGTGTGCCACTTTTGCTTCTGCACTGCGGTTGGATGACTCCTCTTCGAAAGATTGAAGCGCTATTGAGTTCGTCTTCAAAGACTCGAATAGGCGAATTGCCGATCTGCAAACAGACTCCGCGTATCACGCTAGCAAAGTCGACTGGTCGATGACGATATCAAGGTCGGGCGTTCGGAAGCTGTGGGAGGGACGTGAGCAAGACTGGTGACTGTTGGACACGAATTGCAGAAGTCATGGGCGGAAGCGCAAGCATGAGTCTCATCAGCGTTCGTGATTGTCTGTTCTCGCAACGCAAGGTGCGGCAAATCATGTCAACTCACTCGTATAGCGTGACGTGGAGGAGCTGTGCGGGTCTTCAACGCCGCACCGCGCACGCACACGCGCGCTTCACAGGCTGGGAGGCCGCCTGTCACGTGTTAGCGCAAAGACAACCCGTACTCAAAGTCATGAGTACGCAATTCACGATTCAACCGGATGGGATTTGAGCAACAGCGCTGGATCAAGTCAAGAATTTCAATTACAGCGAGAGCCAAGCGATGCAGCTTGTCATGTGAGACTAGTGTCGATCATTGGGTAACATCCTATCATCTCTGACAGGCACAATCGTGGTATCATGTGATATACAGTCTGAATGTCTATTCGTAGGGCGCACATTCCACCTAGCACCAGCCAAGTGCACATTGTCTACGGATGTCCATGGTCCGAACAAGGCCGGCAGCGCAAAAGAGTCAGATGGGAAGGAGGATCCAAGAAGGAGCTTGCAAAATGAATCTAGATCGGTAAGAACAGATCAGCAGGCGGCCAGCCGATCGGACAAGGTTTGAACTCTTTCGAAGCTCTACTCCATCCGGGCACGTTCGACCAATCTTCCTCTTCCTCTTGCTGCACCTCTTCTTCAGCAGCATTGGCGATCGACCCTTCTGCCATCCGCATATCTTCGTCTTCATCATTCCGAACCTGCTCGTCATCGGACTGATAAGAGGGAGAAGTAGCACCTGCCGCCGCACCCGCAGCCGCTTTCTGCCCCGCGAGAAAAGCCAGACGAGCATGAGTGCTGTGCGCGTGCGCGCGAGATCTCAGGTCATAAATGTGCAAGGCAAAGACTCACGCGCGCTTGCAGTTCTTTCAATCGGGCAGCCATGAGGTTCACGGCGTCTTCGAATCCCGTGCTCAGGACCTGCTGACGCGCATGTTGTTCACCGACATCTTGCAGAGCATCCGCGTCCCTCGACGGCTCCGCCTCTTCATGCGCAAGCGGCAAGGTCGTCAGATCGTGCTTCTCAGCTCGGCTGGCAAATCCTTCGATTCCCAAAACTTTGATGGTATGCAACAGCGGGCGAAGCTGATTCTCCAGCTCCGGTCTGTTTCTGCAAATGGCTTTGGCTAGTCGTACAGAGCTGCGCGTTCACGAATGGCGCGAAGTTCGGCGCACAAGATCAGGCATTGTACCTCTCTGTAGCGGAGGCTTACACCATCCGCTGTTAGACGACAGTCGAGGCTCAAACTCACTGCTTGTTTGAGCGTTTCAGACACCTCTTGGCGACGTGCATCGCCAAGCCTTCTTCACTGTCAGACATCTCATCATCGACTTCCTCCCCATTCAGGAGCATCCTTCTCCCAGCCGCCAGGTTGTCCAACCTTTCCTGCTCCTGCAGAACGAGCATCACCAGTGCGCTCGATCCTCGTCGGCCACTCTTGCTGAATAGAGAGACTTCATTTGGCAAATGTCGATCTGAAGAGTCGCTAGGGCCGGGACAGAGTCGATCAACAAGGTAATCCGAGAGCGTGTAAGATAAAGCGGGTAGAGCAGCCAAGGTGTGAGTAAGAAGCTGTTGCCATGTGCTGCACAGCGTATTCGCAGAAGCGCTCCCTTCTGTCGAGGCGGATCCCAAGAGATCCGAGATTCGTCTACAGGACGACGTACAGCAAAGACGGGGGAAGGTCAGTCAAGGGTAAATCGCTTCGCCAGCTTTGCTTGTACACACTGGGTACGCACGAAGCGTTGCATTGCAGCTCGATGTTCTCTTCAACGAGCACCTCGACCAAGTCCAAGAAGGGCCTCTCTTCCAAGTCCACTTCTTCCAGCGCCTCTCCGCTCAGACTCCTCGCTTCGTCCAATCCCAGAGCCAGCTTGACCACCTTCTTACAGACCTGTTCCAGAAACGGTTTTTGCGGACCCGCGAGTGATCTATCCTTGACTATGTCCAGCTGCACGCTCGAGTAGTCGCGCAAACACTGTCGAAGAGAAGCTCGATCGGCCGAGATATTTGCGCTGGGTTTTTTGGAGCTGGAAGCTAAGGGACGCGTAGATCTGTTGGCTTTCCGTTCGTGTTCTGCTTCGACCTCGACCCGCGAGGCTGGATTGAGCGATAAAAGCGTCGGGTACCAATAGTGATGATGCAGCCAGTCCAGAGCCTGTCCCATTTATATCGCACAAAGTCAGCCCTTTCTGTTGCCTTTCCCCAGAGGCAACCAATGGTGAAGCAAGATGCGGGCGCTGAACAACTCACTTCGGCGGCTGCATCCTGCAAGACTTGCAGACTTGGCAGGTCTTCGTGCGTTGCCGCGTGTCGTAGATCGACGAACCAAGTAGGCAACCCAATGCGTCTAGCAATGCTTGCGATGCTCTGTGCGAACATGCCGTTCTGATGCGCATCCACCACGGAATTTACAAACCTGACGATGGCCATGGCATATGTAGTCCTGACGTTCATCGTCGCGATAGACGTTGAATGCGACATCGATGACACGTCCCCGTAGCCTGAAGAAAGGTGTGAAGGCGACGGCAGGAGGTGTGTATGCAGCATCTGAGCGCGAATGAGCGCGGATGTACTCTCGACCGAAGCGGGACATGGACCGCGGTTCAACCAGAGGCTGATGATGCCCAGACCTGCTTGACGCTGAAACACATCCGAGCTGTACAGCTGACCGTGAAGCGCGATGAGGGCTCGACTGGACGTCCATGGTGTACGACGAGGCAAAGAGGAGGTCATGATTCTGGGTGGGCTGGCTGCGTAGCAGGGATGGTGCGGGTCACATTGCGTCAGCATACTCTAGCTGGCTCGATTGGATCCACAGCATACAAGCCTCCTCCAAGCAGGCGAGCCTGCATCATGCGTCACCCGGCGTTTGCAATTCACTACAGTAATCAGTAGGCGACGTGTGTTTGAAGCACGAAGCGCAAATAAACAATCTCGCCAGTCTCTTCACGCGAAGAGGTCCGTGCTTGACTCTATGTTTAGCATCTCATCCTTGTCGCAGCTTGCTATGCCAGCATATGTACCCCACCATCACACCTAGACCACATTGGCGAAGAATGCATGTTGACTCACTTGGGGCGCCAGTTCGATGCGGTCTGGCTTCCCTGCACTGTTAGCTGCTGAAGGGAACGTCCGTGGATAGCTCCATGCTGAGCTTGCCTGACCTGAGCTGAGCCGGACCTGCTGAAACCGATGTGTGGTCGCGATTGCGCCTGCAACGCGTCGAGGGCGAGGGTGGAAAAGGTGGTGCTCGACCAACGCACGCAACGTCTTCATCAAGCAGAGGAAAACTTGATGGAACTCATCAGCTGGTGTGCACGCGTGATCGCGGCGGTGAAAATTGCATGCCCGACGTGCACAGCAGGTCACGTGTGTGCAAGAAAGTCAATAGTCACGCGTCGAGCGTTGAGGCGGTCGAGGTCGAGTTCGAGTTCGAGTGGAGCTGAGTTGCTTGAAGCAAGGCAGCCAAGCTTGACTGAGCGAGGCCGCACACCATTCAGCACCTCTTCGCCCTCTGTCCACGCAAGAGCAGCGATTTTGCTGCCTTTTTGGTGCTGCTATCTTCCTGTCTCGCAGAGCGCGGTTTGCCTCCCTGCCCTCACCCTGCTAATGGTCGAGCTCTCGGTGGGCATTTATAAGGATGGCGCGCAAACGCTACCTGGTGGATCAGCTTTCAGATTCGGGCGATGAGGGGGCAGCGTCGGGATCAGAGACGGAGGGAAGGAGCAACGATCGCCGCCCAACACGCTCAAAGGAGGAAGCTATTTACGGAGTCTTTGCAGAGTCCGACGATGAGCAGGGCCATCCGGGCGGTGGTGGAAGGGGCGGGGCAAGGGGCAAAGCGAGTGGGAGAGGGAGAGGTACAGCGGGGGATTATTCAAGAGGACAGGCTTTCGTCTCTGCCACTTCCAACTCGACATTGCAAGCTGCTCAACAAGCACGTCAAGGCCGCCAAGGGACCGAGACCGGGCGTGGCGAGTCCTCGTCTCGATCGTCCGCCCATTCCGATTCGGACGAGTCGCGCATGTCCACCTCTTCAGAACATCACTCACAACTCCTCTCTCGTCCTCTTTCCACTGAAGAAGAGCTTAGCACTCGTCCCGCTTTCCAAGACGTCAATCTAGGACCCACGGCAGCTGAGGCGGACATCATCTCGCGGTCTGCAGCGCAAGCTCAAAGAAATGAAGGGGACTCCTCTTTTGTTCCCGCCTCTTTCTTGTCCAGTCGGTCGCGCGAACCTGCCGAGACATCAGCGTCGAGCGGCTCAAGGGGTGGTATCGGCTCAAATTCTAGGGCTTTGGAGGATAATGGCTGGACTGCGCCGTCTGGATCTTCCAGGGGTGGAATGGGGATGGCCGGTCGCCATGTGCCACCACCGCGCAAGGCTGCGCCACTGAACGACGATGTCGACATGTTAGAGGAAGACCAGATCGTCAAAGGACGCGCGGGACTACCTGGCTGTTTCGATGCGCCGCCAAAATCTCCAGCGCCCTTACTCGGAGCTTCGGTTAGCCACTCGTCGGCGGCGACGCCAGCTTCCAAGAGATCCTTTGTCGGTGGAGGTGGTTTAGGACACAAAGCAAGATCTGCGAACTCCCCAGCAGACATGAAACCCATCGCTCCTGGTAAGGGCGGCAAATTTGCGAGCATGATGATGCAGCAGATGGGCTGGGCAGGTGGAGGATTAGGAAAAGCGGGAGAAGGAATCGTCAATCCGATAGAAGTGCAGCTAAGACCTGAAAGAGCGGGTATAGCTTTCGGCGGACGGAAAGAGAAAACGAAGCAAGCCAAGGAGGAAGCGAAGAGAAGAGGGGAGGCAGTCAGTAGCGATTCGGAGGGAGAAGACAAACAGAGGAAAGGGGGACGCAAGAAGCAAGGGAAACCATCTAGAAACGAAGCAGAACATCAGGATAGGGAGAGGAGAGAATTGTGGAGTAGACCTGACAGGAAAATGAGAAGGGTCAAGGTGCAACATCGGACGTATGAGGAGATCATAGCAGAGGCTGGCGGAAATGCGCCTTCTGGTCTTGAAGCGGGCATCGGACCCATCATCGATGCTACCGGTCCTCAGGTGCGCGAAGTGGCCTCTCTCTCTAGCGCTTTGGGAGACAAGGGCATTCCGACGAGCGAAAGCACGCGTCTGCCGGAGTTGAGGCACAACCTTAGACTGATCTGCGATAATAATAGGATCCTGCTCGAAGGTTTGGCGAGAAAGGGCGCGCAGAATATCGAGAGACAAAAATGGCTCGTCAGGGAGAGAGACGAGTCGGAGAGGAGAAGAGCTAAAGCTGCCGTGGATGCGCGACGCGTGAGAGAGGTCCTCAGTGTCGTTCGAGATCTTGAAGAGTTGGGCATACAGAATGAGAAACTGGTCTCATCGCGCGTCGAGGAGGAGATGGATACGCAACGATTGAGCGACCTGATCGGATTGCTGAAGGAGAAGTATGGGGACGAGATCCAAGGGCTGGGATTGGACGAAGCTATCGTTGCTGCTGTTGTGCCTTTTGTGCGCACCAGAATACGGGCCTGGAAGCCACTGCAAGAACCAAGGCATCTTTTGGAAGATTTCGAGCCATGGCATTCGGTGCTGCAAAGTGTTGATGAGAGTCGCCACGCTACTATGAATGGGCACTCCAAGTCGGATCCCCTCATGACGCCATTCGAATCCCTGCTTTGGCATCTGTGGATGCCCCCCGTGCGCAGTGCTCTCAACAACGACTGGAAGGCACATCATCCGGAAGGTGCTATGCGTCTGCTGGAAGCCTGGCAACCTTTTCTTCCTCGCTTCATCTTTGATAATCTGACCAATCAGATCATCCTACCTCGTCTTTCCGACGCGGTCGAGCATTGGGAAATGTCGTCTTCAAAGGCGCCCCTGCATGCCTATGTGTTCCCTTGGTTGGAGGTGATGGGGGAGCAAATGACGGATTTGATGAACGAGGCGAGGAGAAGAGTCAGGGCCGTTCTTAGGAGCTGGCGAGCTAGCTCTGGTCTGCCGGAAGCCTTGCATTTGGAGAAATGGAGAGAGGTGAGTGAGCCTCGCAACGTTGATTGTGCTTGCTGAGAATATACCTGACAGGCTTCTTCGCCGCTGATGGTTTTGCTGCCACGACGCATTATGCACAGGTCTTTCAGGACGCGGATTGGAACGCCATGCTTCTGGACCAGGTGGTGCCCAAGCTTTCTTCCTACCTGCGTCAAGAGCTGCGCATCAATCCAGCAAAGCAAGAGATGAGACCTTTTCATCTCGTCCTAGCCTGGCACATTCACCTCGCCCCCATCAACACTTCGCGTCTACTAGAATCCGACTTTTTCCCGCAATGGCTCGACGTTTTGCATCTTTGGTTGACGCAGCCCAAGGTGCAATTCTCCGAAGTGGGCCAATGGTATTCTTTCTGGAAGGCGCAATTTGCAAAGTATGCAGGCGTGCAGGAATTGCCAGGCATCAAGTTGGGTTTCAAGAGGGGTCTGGATCTCATCAATCAGGCTTTGGAACAAAAGACGGCGGAGGGGAGAGCGAGTTTGCCAAAGGCAGACAGTACGCCCTTGTCCAAGTCTCAATTCAAGAATGCTCAGCAAGCACACTCCGCCAATGCCCCCTCCAACTTTGCAAGTCGACGAGGCGCAGCGGCAGATCCAGCGAGAGCGAGCGCGAATGCCGAATCATCCATCACCTTCAAACGCGTCGTCGAGGAAGAAGCAGCAAAGTCGGAATTGCTCGTCTTGCCACTGAGCAAATCTCATCCGCTCAACGGAGCGCCGCTACTTCGCATATCCCCTCACATTACTGGAAAGCCCGGCATCACTTTTTATATCGACGACGACGTGGTCTGGGCTGCTGCTGCGTCAGATGCGGCTGATCAGTACAGCCCCATCAGTCTGCAGGAACTTGTCCAGAGTGCCAAGCTCGTCAAAAAGTGATTCAACATGTAACACTAACCGCATCTCGACGTCTTCCATGCGTGACGCGCCTCGTCGAGTCAGATCCATGGCGCAGCAATGACATCTATTGAGTTGATAGTCCACACCTCGAAGAAGCGTCTCTATAATTTGATTGCGCCTCTGGCGTTCACTTTTTGGGTGGGTCATTAGGGCCCTGAGCAGAGGTGCCAATGGAGGAGGTGATCAGCTATGCACTTCACCCTCTTTATGGCCAGCCCAGAGCAGTCACACTTACAATCATGAGTTCGGGTCTGACCTTCTCGTCAAACTCCTCTGGCGTCAGGAAGCCCAACTCGACCGTCGACTCCTTGAGGGTGATGCCCTTCTTGTGCGCATTCTTTGCCGCTTTGGCGACAGCTGCGGCGCGGCGCGGCGCGGCGCATCGAGGCACAAGGGAAAGATTGGTCAGTGAAGTGGCAGCATGCAAATTTGCTAGACGCTGCGGTCTGCCCTCGCCTCTATGAAGATTCGCAGTCAAGAAGACTTTCACTCACAATCGTATCCCAGATGGCTGTTGAGGATGGTGGCAAGCATCAAAGATTCGTTGAGCAGCTGATGAATTCTAGGTCTGTTCGCCTCGATGCCCACGACGCAATTCTTGGTAAAGCTTCTGGCTCCATCTGCCAGGAGTCTGATGCTCTGCAGCAAATTCTTGATGAGCACCGGTTTGAAGACGTTGAGTTCGAACTGGCCATAAGAACCAGCAACGCTGATCGTCGTGTTGTTTCCAATGACCTGAGCAGCGACCATCGTCAGGGCTTCACACTGCGTGGGGTTGACCTTGCCAGGCATGATGCTTGATCCAGGCTCGTTCTCCGGCAGAGCCAGCTCTCCAAGCCCGCAACGAGGTCCCGATCCGAGGTATCGAATGTCGTTTGCGATCTTCATGAAGCTGACAGCCACAGTGTTCAGCTGTCCGCTAGCTTCCACAATCGCATCGTGCGCTGCCAAAGCTTCGAACTTGTTCGGCGCAGTCTCGAAATGCACGCCCGTAATCTCGGCAATCTTGGCTGCCACTGCAGCGTCGAAGCCCTTGTAGGTGTTCAATCCAGTTCCAACTGCAGTGCCTCCTTGCGCCAATTGGCTCAAGCGCGGCAGGGCGCTCTTGACCCTCTCGATGCCGTTTTCGAGCTGCTTGACGTATCCGCTGAACTCTTGACCCAGAGTCAATGGCGTGGCATCCTGCAAGTGCGTTCGTCCGATCTTGATGATGTCGTCAAACTCGGCTCTCTTGGCGTCCAACGCTGTCTTGAGCTCCTCAAGAGCGGGCAAGAGCGAGTTGCTGATTTGCAGAACAGCCGAGACGTGCATAGCGGTAGGGAAGCTGAGCAGAGAGACGTACAAGAGTGGATCCCGTTCAGTGGATACTTGCTGACACAGCAAAGCTGTGACGAGGGTTCGGTCGCGACGGCATACATGCCTTCGATAGAGTCGATATACTGCCACTCACGTATCGTTGCTGCTCTGGCTCATATTGACATGATCGTTGGGATGCACGGGTTTCTTGCTTCCCAGCTCGCCTCCCAGGAGCTCGATGGCTCTGTTGCTAATGACTTCGTTGACATTCATGTTTGTCTGCGTTCCTGATCCAGTCTGGAACACGACGAGAGGAAAGTGGGACTCGAGCTTGCCGCTGATGACCTGTACAGAGAGGAGAGGCAGGGTCGCAAGAAAGCTTCAGCACGCTGATGTAGCTCGGACAAGGCAGACAAGTGTGAGCCTGAATTGGTGCGCACCTCATCAGCAGCTTTTTGAATCGCGTCTGCAATTTTTGGGTCCAATCCGTATGTCTGGTTGACTGCAGCCGCTGCCTTTTTGAGCACACCAAAGGCTTGGATGAGGGGCAAAGGCATTCTCTCTTGAGCTCCACCAATGTCAAAATTCTGCAGAGACCTCTGTGTTTGAGCTCCCCAATACCTGTCCGAGGGGACTTGGAGATCACCAAACGTGTCCTTTTCAGTCCTGAAGGATTGCGACATGATGCGAGAGCTGCTAAAGGCGCGAAGAGGTGCGGAGGAGGTGGGAGCGACGAAGCTGACGGGTCGCTGTGAGATGATTGATGATGGTAAGTTTGAAGCTCCATGCACTGAGGCAGCGGCTGTATAAGTGATGAGATGCGCAACTCGCTTCGCTGCGATCGAGCTTGCACCCTTGGCAATCGTATCGTTGCCCCGCGCAAAGAATGACCCCACACGGTCGCGCAACAGCAAGCTCGGCAGGCTGCTTGGCTCGTGCATGAGGCAGGCTCTTCGAGGCGCCGATAAGCAGGTGACGATACCCACTGGCCCTTCAGGGCGCGCACAATCAACGTGGTCGACCTGAGCATCCTTCAGCCCAAGCTGGCATCGCTCAAGCCCCTCGCTATCAACCTAGAGCAGCAAGCAAGCCTCGCAAGACTCACCTGAGCGACCTTCAGCGATCGTCCAGCCGCGCTGGCCAGGCGAAGAGGCATCTGACGTGCAAACATGATGGCAACGCAGCGAGGATGATTTCAAAGCTGATCTGGGGTGAAACAATGGCAGCTCGTTCGCAGCGAGCTGTTTGAACGGCTTTTGTGCAAATGGGTCGATCTTGTATAGCGCTCACTGGGCAGAGCAGAGCACAAGGAGCTTTGGCGCAGGCGGTGGAGGCGCAGATAGAGTGCGTGAGTTGTTGTGAGGGGAAAAGGTACGTGGTTCACAAGTTGTGAATCTGCAGGAGAGGGGTGTGGTGGACCTGGGATAGGCTCGATCGTTTACATGATTCAGCTCAGAACGCCGGGGCAGCGTTGTGATCGCGATGGAATTAGCGCCCTTCATCGCACCTGCTGTCTGCTCTTCCGACGAAGCCCAGAGCATGCAATTCGCAGTTCACAATTCACCAAATCATGAATCGCACCCAAAAAAGTTCAAAGCGGCCGCACCGGAAGATCTCGCGCGCAAGGATCGCCGCGCCCGCGTGCGCCCTCGATCGAAGCTGCTGTGTACGCCCGGGGCATCGCTCCGATCCGTCAAGCCCGCCGAAGAGCTGCTACGCTTGAGCATTCACGATTGTGATTCATGATTGACGATCAACGCTTCACGAGCTGTCGGCATGCCAGTCAAGAGTCAGAGTCAGAGTCAGAGTTGAACCAGCTCGCCGAAGAGGCGACCCGTGACCGCGTCGGTATCCGATCCGATCTCAACCGCACCGCACGCGCCTGCTTGGGGTCCGTGCCAAAGCGGGGGGGATGGGGCGGGGCCTGTCCAAAAGCGCTGTTCCGAAGCCGACCGAAACCGAAGCATTTCGTCGCAGTCACGTGTGCTCTCCACGTGGTCTCTATCTTCATCCATGCAGTCTCGACTCTCGAGTACCTCGCGCGATGGTTGCGCCTTGCATCGGCCGGCAGGCGCGCGTGCTGGATGTGGAGGCCCAGCAGTCAAGAGTCGTTAGTTGCTGCTGATGTTTGCGATTTCTGGGAATCTACGATCTGCGTCCGTCTGCGGTCATCTTACATCAAGCAGACGAACCAGCACGCATTCGATCAGAATAGTGAAAGTGACTGCGAAGCTGAATGCAGTCAATCCATTCATTTTGAGCGCAGATGGTGCGGTGAGTAGAGTCGTAAGCGTGCCACAGTCCCGGCTGGCGGTTTGACGGGAGTAGGGGCTTTGCAAAAGGCTCCTTCGCTATTTTCTCAATTTGGCTGAGCTGCTCATTCGATGGAAAGAGATCGACACTGCCTCCCTCTTACTCGGCATTCTAATCAATGAGTCAGGGTTAGAGTCTAGGCACATATCATCCATCGAGCATGCTGGCCGGAAGATAGACCAGCAGCTATAGCGTGCTGCACAGCAACGGAGCTCACGGCAACTTAGAGCGGACTCCGCGCGCGCGGGGTGTAAATAACGTGTGCATGCCGCCGAGGCGCCGGGAGACCCGCCGGCGCGCGCTGCATGCTGCAGGAGCGGTGCGGTGCGGTGCGGGGTGGATCCTCCCTCGATCGAGCCTCGCCTCAATCAATCGCGAATCAGTCGACGGATCGGGGCGGGACTCGACTCGCTCCCTCACTGCTCCTAACCGCAAGTCGTCGCCTCCACACTTGCTGACTCGCACTCTACATTACCGGTACAGCTTATCGTGAGTCTGTGACTGAAATGCTAGCCGGCTGCGAACGAGCGGTGTTGATTTTGCCAAAGCAGCAAGCACAGCGAAGTTGCAGCGCTTCTGATGGTTCCGCCCCGCCCCGCCCCGCTCTGACAAGCCTTGCGCATCTCACTCACTTGCTCTTTCTTGCGCCCTTTGCCCAGCACGACTGACTGACTGCCTCGAGATCATCCTCTTTCTTGCTTGTTCATTCCCCCACTTTGCCCCAGTCTGCGCTGCTTGTACTGCGGCTACTGTGCCCGGCTTCAACTTGGACGACATTTCCGACGTTCCTGCGTCTGAGCTTCTCCCCCCGCAACACCGGCGTACAACGGCTGTGACGACTGAGGCAGGCATCCCTCAAGCAGCGCTGGCTCCTCCAGGCTAAGGGCTCAGACCGCCTCCTGCTTTTCAGTCAGCAGCATTTACGTCACGACCAACGCGCATACATTTTCCCTCTTTCGTCTCGACTACATGCTCGACAGCTTCCGCAAAGGAAAGCAGAATCACCCTGCTTAGCAAAGCGCAGTGCCAGCACACCTAGCCCGTTTGGCACACAGACTCACCTCTACACACGCAGAGGCGCGAGTCGTCATGTCGGTGCCGCATCTCTCTCACAGGCACGTGGGGGACGAGTCGAGGCTGGAAGGGAGCGCTTCCGATGTCAAGAAAGATGGGCTGGGTCACCAGACGAGCTCTGCTGTGGATGAGCAAGACCAAGGATCTGGTTCGAGTCCCAAGAGCGACGAGCTCACAGCTCGGGGCGACACGACTTCAGCGTCCGAGCTCGCAGCGCAGCTGGGCGTGGATGAGAGGAAGCTGATGAGAAAGGTGGATCTTCACCTCATCCCATTCTTGAGCTTGCTATATCTCTTTAGCTTTTTGGACAGGAGCGCCATCGGCAATGCCAAATTGTATGGATTGGAAGATGATTTGCAGATGCAAGATACGGATTTCTCCATCGCTGCTGCCATCTTCTTCATCCCTTATGCTCTGTTCGAGGTGAGTCACGAGTGGGTTTGCACATGCTTCCTCATCGCACTCAAACTTCATGCTCATTGCCGTACCTGATCGACGGCAGGTGCCAAGCAATATTCTGCTCAAAGCTTTCAGACCCTCCATCTGGTTTCCCATCATCACGATGCTCGTAGGATGCGCCATGCTCTCTCAGGGCGTAGTGTCTAGCTATGGAGGCTTGCTCGCCGCCAGATTCTGCTTGGGTGTGGTGGAGGCGGGTCTGTTCCCCGGTGTCAATCTGCTCCTTTCTGGCTGGTACAAGAGGTCGGAGTTCGGATTGCGGTGAGTGCATGCTCAGCAGTCCTAAGCCAGGCTTGGCGTGATGCGGAGCACTGATACTGTCTGACTTCTTTACTCTGCAGAGCTGCGCTCTTCTTCTCCGCTGCTACCATTTCCGGAGCGTTCGGTGGGCTGCTGAGTGCTGCTATACACAACATGGACGGCATCGGAGGCTACGCGGGATGGCGCTGGATCTTCATTGTGAGTGCACTGCCATCATCTCTGCACAGGGTCGGTCCGCGCGACCTAGCTCGCCATGCATGTGATTGCGCCCTGCTTACTTCCTGTTGTGCTCTTCTCAGATCATTGGTCTGGCGACTTTTGTCATCGGAGTTCTTTCCTTCTGGTTGGTACACGACTTTCCAGAGACTGCTCGCTTCATCACGGAAGGCGAGCGTCGAGTCATCATCAAGAGGTTGCAGTGCGATCAGCAGCTCAGCGCTTCTGGGGAGCGCTTCACATGGGCTTCGGTCGGTAAAGGCTTTGTGGATATAAAGACATGGGTCGGAGCTCTGGCCTACATGGGCTGGTAAGTTGCGACTTGCGCGGTATTGGGATCGAGATGAAGCGCTCATGAACTCTTCTTCCTCCTGCCATTCGCCCACTCTTCGCAACGCTCAGCGACGGGCCATTATACGCTTTTTCCACCTTTACGCCCACCATCATTCGAGAATTGGGATACCAGGCGACCAGGGCGAACCTGCTCAGCGTCCCCATCTACGTCATCGGCTGTCTAGTGACCATCCTAGTAGGATTTGTGGCCGACCGAAGAGGCAACAGAGCCATGCTCAATGTATTGATCCTTGGCATTGGGATCGCCGCCTACATCGTCTTGGCAGCTTCTAGGCTCACGGGCCTCAGCTACGCGTTTATCTACCTCGCTGCTATCGGTATCTATCCGGCCATTCCCAACACCATCTCTCTTACCATCAGCTCGGTTGAGGGAAGTTTCAAGAGGAGTGTAGTCAGCGCTGTCGTGTGAGTGATGCGTGATCACGAGTTGCGCAAGGCAGAGCAGTAGACGTCATCCAGCACTGTTGGGGCTCATGCATCTACTCTGCGCCTCCTTGCCTGCCCTCTCTGCACCCCTCGCAGTATAAGTTGGGGTAATTTGAATGGCGCAGCAACTACGAACGTCTACAGAGCACAGGACCAACCTTGGTATCCGCTCGGACACGGTCTCATTGTAATGTACATCGTGATCGGTATGCTCTCCAATCTGACCTACGTCTACCTGGTCAAGAGGGAGAATGCAGCGAGGGAGCGAGGAGCAAACGACGAGAACATTCTCGATGATCCTTCTCCTCAAGGTGTCGAAAGAGCTCAGCAGATCAGGACGGAGGAGATTGCCAAAGCTACGGGTTGGAGAAAAATCAAGATGATGTTTCATGAAGCTCCTGGTGGGACTTATGCGACTAGAGAAGAGGCGGCTAGACTCAAGGGCGATGCTTGGAGTGGATTCAGGTACAGCTACTGAATGACGATGCTTCTTTATAAATGCTTCTCTTGCGCCAGGCTTGCAATGTTGTGGGACTTGCGATCGAGTGAGCGCACGAGTCGAGGTAGGCAGGCAGACAGGCGGTCGATCCAATCGTCCTGTACCTTTAGCCGGTGTCTGCGAGCAGACCTTTGGCCCCACATCCTTTGCGCAAGCGCAACCAGAACACGCCAGAGCTGAGAGTACAAGTTTTTAACAGAATGCCAATGATGTGCCAAATCTTGAATGATATATAGAAAGCAATGCAAGGGGAAAAGAGTGTATTGTGCAAGATTGAAAGGAGGGTGATGTAGACTCGACAAGAAGAGTGTTATCGGATAGCGCAAGATGCAAGTGCGTACCGATGGAGGGGGCGCTGTGATCTTTTTTTTTTTTTTTTTTCAAAAAAA